TGTCATCTGGATAGATCACACAAGCCTACGTATTTCCTTGAACCTTACCAAGAACAAATGTTCTCTCTCAGGCTCATATTTAATGCTGAATGTTATTTGACAGGGCAAATATTTACCTGCAATAATACTACAAATCTTTATCCTTCTCACTGGGAATAATATTTCTCTGAGTCAATGCTTGGCTGCAACTCCTGGATCCTCACAGATAATCACACAGAACATGACTCAGTGGAGAATTGGGGTCACTGGACATTTGCCATTCTGCCATGGAGGAGAACAGTTTCCCAGATCCTTGGTCAAGTCACGTCCTCTGTGATTAATACCAATGTGCAGTGCAGACATGATGCTGCCTGGCTGTGGAGTGTTTTGTGGAGGAGAATGGTGCTTTCCTTCCCTTCCAGGAGGGGAAAGGTGGGAGAAAGGTAAAGGCTTCATTTATAGAAATGTTCAATACTAGTTATGCCCTCCCGAGTCACCTGCATGCAGATTTGTGGTGTCTTTTCGAGCGTGGCTGTGGCTTTGGCTGAGGCACAGCTGGTCCCTCAAGAGCTGCACAGCATTAAGATGTCTGGACAACCCTTGGCCTCAGACCAGCTGAACATGTGGAGCCCCTGGGTGCTGCACAGGGATTGGGAAAGGGATCTAAACCTGCCTTCTCTTCACTGAGGTTCCTGGGAGCGCTCCCCTGGGGATCAGGGAGGTTTTGTTAGGGGGTGACTGGTGGGAGTTTGCCAGGGCTTGGCTTTATTTGAGTTCAGGAGGAGATGCAGCACAGGAGGAGAAGAAGCAGCAGCAGCAACATCAAGTGTGGTTTTAGTCTGATGGCAGAGGGTGTGCTGGGTCACAGTGCCCATCTCATAGCGCAGAGGGACACCCAGGGCACGAGGATAACTCACAGATGTGCTCCATGTGTGCAGCAGAGATGAGCCACTTGCCATCAACAGGCCGGTCCCCAAAGCTGCCTCCTGCCTGAGAGCTTTCTCCTGTAGGTCCTGGGGATTTGGGGTGCCTCCTATGCAACTCTCTCTCCCTCTTCTAAAAAGCATCAAGGAGTGCAGCAAATCCAGGAGATCTTGGCGCATTGTCCCTGTGGTGAGGAGCAGCGCTGGCAGGAGGCCACATTGGGCTGTCTCCAAGACCTGATGGTTCTTAGGAGCACAGGTTGTGCCCCAGCAGTTCAGCAAGGAGACCTGGCTGTGCAGGTCACCCCGTTCTCTTACACGGGGTTTAAGGAATTCCGACTTTCCCTCTCAAATGATTAGGAATAGCATGTCCCAGCCCTGTACTGTGAGCTGTGAGGGAGCAGCCAGTAACTTGGTTAGCTGTTCTGACTCCTCTTGGTCCTGGACATGGACTGGGGGTCACCTTGCCAGGAACCAGAGCCTTTCTTTCCAGTACAGTCCACTCAGATCACTTCCCCTCCACTCCTCTGTGCTGATGCTGAATCTGCAGGTGGATGGAGATGGTCTAGGGAGAACATTCAGATTTGGATTTTAAGAAGGAAAAATTGTTTTAAAATATGATTTTGCTGCTGTTGGAGGTTGGGGCATAACCATGGGTATGAGGCCCTGGCACAGGTTGCCCAGAGAAACTGTGGCTGCCCAATCCCTGGAAGTGTCCAAGGTCAGGTTGGACGGGGCTTGGAGCAATCTGGGCTGGTGGAAGGTGTCCCTGCCCATGGTAGGAGAGTTGGAACAGGATGATTTTTAAGGTCCCTTCCAACCCAAGCTATTTTATGGTTCTGTGATAACCCTGGGGCTGCGCTGAGGGCAATTTGGTCCTACACAGCCCCTCTAGCTGGGGCACAGAGCTGCTCGGGGGGGCTGAGGGCAAGGAGGGACTCAGAAAAGGGGAACTGCCCCCTCTCTGAGTGGTTCTTGTCTCCATCCTGTATCTCCATCCCTCTGCAGGCTGAGGCAGGGGGTTGCCACTCCAAGTACCCCCCATGTGCCCTGCAGCGCGAGCCGCGAGAGGCTTTGCAAGAAGAGGCTTGTTGTTTCAGCTGATTTCAATGTTTTAATTTGAAGGGGAATAATGTGTAATCACAACAACTGTCATCTGTTTGACAGTGGAAAATCCCAGATCTCCCGTGCTTTTTTTTTCGTGCCCCGTGCTGGGCAGCCATTCAGCAGCACGAGCTGCTCTGCAGTCACATTCGCAGTCCTGGTGGGATGAATGGGTTCAGACCAGCTCACTAATCTAATTTGTAATGTATCCTTATAACGTATAATTGGCTGTTTAATTTCATTCGAATTAACATAAGAATGGAAAATACAATCTGCTGCGTGGCCCACATGGTGGTGGAAGGGAGCGTTGGGTGTTTCTGCAGGGGGCTTTGAGAGGTGGCTTTGTGAGACCACCCTTCATGGGGGTGGGGGCGTCATCTTGGACGTGTCAGTAGGCACCGTGTGTGTGACAATAAATCACTCCCTTTCCCCAGCCTTCCAAGTGCCTATCTGCCTCATCTCCCTTCCTTATCTTTCTGGCCATCTATTTAAAACACACATAGAGTGAAGGCGGCTTGCTTTGGAAAACTGTCGGTAGTGACGGGGGTGTGAAAGCTGGCAGGCGCCAAGTCTGATTATGTTGATTGGATATTGTCTAATCTGATTTTGATTGTGTACAGCTCTGATTGTAATTTTGATACGTCTGCAAAATGCTGTAGCTGTTTGGAAAGCTTTGTGATTTAAACAGGTCTTTTTTCTTTCTCTTTGTTTTTTTTTTTTTTTCTCCCCCTGGGTTGAATAGAACAGAAGCAGAAACGTGCCAGGGGGTGAGCAGGCCTTTGGCACTCCCTGCAAAACCACCTCAAAGCCCCTGGGTGAGCTGCTCTGCAGCAACACAAGGAACTCATAGTTTTGAAGAGAGCTTTAGGAAACTTTGAGTGGGTTTTACATAATTTAGTTAAGCACAGCAAAGCCACTTGCTTATATACCTGATACCAAAATAAACCAGTTGGAGGAACAAGTTTGCCGTGCGATGATTTATTTAAATCCCTTTCTGTAAAGCATGGAGTGAAATCCTCTTAAATAACTGGGAAAGAATCGGTGTACCTCGAGGAGCACAGCCCAAATGGAAACCTTGCTACCAGATGTATTAAATGGGATCTATCTGTCTGCCGTTGTGTACATCCCCTCAGCCTCCTGCCTTCTCTCTATAACAGCACTGTTAGACAGAAGCTGGCTTGAATTTCCCCTGAACAATAACAGTTGGTACAGAGCTATCAGGGCCCAGGCTCTGTCTTGTGTTTCTGGTGTGCTCTTGTTTCCCTGCAGCTGGTGGGAATCTCAGGCGAACATGAAGGTTCTGGTCAGATATGCAGTAACTGCTCTTGAATCATCAAAAGGTTTGAGTTAGAAGGGAATTTAGAGATCATCTGATTCCAACAAGATGCTGCCAGCTCCAGTTTTGGGGTGAGGCAGGAGCGATCCCCTACTCTGACACCCCACAGAGCCACGGCTGTCCCTGGCAGTGCCATTTTACCAATCCATGGATCTCTCCTTGCTCACTCTTGCCTCTCCCACTGACTTCTGTGTTCTGGTAAATATAGGCTTTATTTTATTTTATTAAGGGCTTTCTCCCCACACTCTGGGGTGATGAGGAGTGGGGATCTGAGGGTGAGCTCTGGGACAATGGATTAATAAAGCCTATGGTACTTAACTGTTTTTTTTAACATCTGGGGTTTTGCTCTTAAATCAAGTATTAAGTCAAAATCCAACCATGAAACTAGGTGATCAGGGAAATTTAGCTTAAAATCCATGTGTATAATACTATGGCTAATCAGAATTTCATATGCTATAATAATATGTGAAACAGTAGATGTTTAGAATCAGCCTCCTCTGCCAGAGACTCGTTATATTCTGCATTGATAATTAATAATTTTGGATAGATTCACACTTACATTATGAAGCAAATATGTTTTTGTCTGAAGTGAAAACAATTGCACAGGTGCAATAACATATTCTTTATATAAATTGGAACGCTTAGAAGTAAACAAGCCTCCAGAAAGCATGGAGAGCAGACGGAGTACTGACATCTCTGTGTGTTCGCGTCACCTCGAGGCAGCGTTGGTAGGGAGGTGAGGGGACACTTCTCCAGATGAAATTTGGAAGAGAATACAAGGAAGGACATATCTCCATGTGTGGTGAAGTCATGCAGGCTTCCTTTAAAGGATTTTTTAACAAGTGATGGCTGTGTTTGCAAATCTCCCTCCCTGGTTGTAGCTTCCGTGCTGGAGTTTTTGAGGACTCAGCAGGAGTTAGGACAAGAGGGAATGGCTTTAAACAGAAAAGGGGAAGAGTAAGATATTAAGGAAAAATTCTTTACTACGAGGGCCGTGAGGCCCTGGCACAGGTTGCCCACAGAAGCTGTGACTGCCCCATCCATGGAAGTGTTGAATGGGGTTTGGACCAATCTTTTTAGGGGAAGGAAGTTTGGAACTAAGTGAGATTTAAAGTCCTTTCCAACCCAAACCATTCCATGATTCTTTGAATATTGTTCCCAAGTAATTGTTATTTCTACAGATTAAATTCTCATAAAAACTCTTAAAAATACCAGCTACAGGTACTGTAAGAGCTGAGCTGTGTGCCCAGAGAGAGGCTTTGACTTACAGATGCCTCTGCTGGTCGGGAAGCAGCTCTTCCATGGTTGTGGCACTGCAAACATCACTGGCCTGGCTGTGGTCCAGGCATGGAAGTTTCTGCTGACGTTTTGGTGAGTTAAAGATGTTCAAGAGGGACGAGGGGAGCAAGGGGATGACCTGAGTGGATCTGAGGTGTGTGAGGATCCATCCCTGATGGACGGTGGTGCAGCACTGCCACATTTGCACCTTGGCTCCTACTTAGTTACAACCTGGTGTGCAGAGCTCGAGTTACCCTTTTTATTACAGCAAAACCATTTTCACTGGAATATGCTTTTGTGTTCCTTACGCAAGTAATCATTTTCTTTGCCGAAGCAGCGGGGCAGTGACAACGTCGCAAAATGTCTTTCTCGCGTTTCAGACGTACAACAGCCAGAATGAAAACAACGAGGACTACGAGATCCCTCCCATAACGCCTCCCAATCTCCCCGACCCTTCCCTCCTGCACTTGGTGGACCACGAAACTGGATATCACTCCCTGTGCCACAGCCTCCCTCCCAACAGCCTGATCCCAGCCTACCCCTACCAGAACATGGACCTGCCGGCCATCATGGTCTCCAACATGTTGAGTCAGGACGGGCATCTCCTCTCCAGCCAGCTACCCACGGTCAGTGCCTTTCCCCTCTTACTGTCTTTCAGTCAAAACTGCTCTATATTTTTGTGTTATGAGTCGACTGAGCATGGGAGGGTGTCGGTGGTGAGCTGTTTGCCTGAGGGGGTTGGCAGCTCTGTGGTGCTGCCACCCACCAAGGCCGGGGTGCAGTGGCAGAGACTGGACTCACCTGCGTGGCCATGCACATGGTGTCAGTTCTGTGTTTCCACTTTGGTGTCTTCCTGAGCCTCATGAACCACTCAAGAGCAGGGGCAGGTTGTTTTCTTCCCTCACCTCCCTGAACCAAGCGAGGTGCACGTGCTCCATCCCCCATGGGAATGTGGCCAACCAAAGCCTGGGGTCCATAGCCCCGTGTCCTTTCTCTTCATCCCTGTGTCCTGCTGCCAGGGTGGCCCCGGTGGCATCAGCAGGAGGAGCATGGACGCTCCCTGGAGGGGAAGCTGAACTATTGATTTCAAGGGGAACAAGATCCCTCCTTGCACTCGCAGGCTCAAATTGCCTCTTGGCTCACGCCGTGGCAAGGGGATACCCCGGGAAGTTTCAAATGACTCATCTGCAGGGATAAACAAGGCAGGGATAATGAAGTAAAGTGCAGCTCTGGGAAGAAACTTCAGGGCTAATTAGACCTCACGATGCTTCTGCATCAGCAGCGCCGAGGAAAGGTTGTGACTTGATTTTGACAGTGACACTGAGTTAACACTGCTGCTGTTTAGTACCATTTTCCTCTTTAGCAGATTTAGCCCCGTGGTTGGGTTTCGGTGTTGTTTCTCTCTCAGATCATTGATTTTGGACGACATCGATATCAAACAGAGTTAATTTGACTTAAAGAGCGTGGCTGGGAGGCTGCCCCTGCCTGGCTGGGGAGCGCTTGGTGTTGATTGCTTGACTAGATAATGGTCTGAAAGGTAGTGATATTTAAATATTTAAATGGGATATTATCTCTTAGTCTAGGAAAATCCCAAGGCTTTCTAAAGTCCTGATGAGTCTCCAAGTTTCATTGTTAGTGTGTTTAAGAAAAATATCATGTTCTGCCCATTGGTATTGAACAGAGGCACATTTCTATGGAATTGAATATTACTTAGGGCTCTGTGTTAGCTTCTAGGTTCTTAGGTGATTAAAACATTCATTTCTGAGACAAAAAGAGTCAATTCCAGCTGAAATATTTTTCCCTGGTTTAATTTAAAGCACAGCCCCTTTGCCTGACCCCTATTTTCATAACACGATAATTTTATCCTGTGTTGATTGTCTCATTTTTGGAGGTGATATTGCACTTATAAATCACTTTCTAAAATACCTAAAGAAAAAAGAATCAGGGGATTTATTAAGCAGCTTCCCTACCTCTGAAATAATTTATTTTGGAGTAGTCCTTGGGAAATGTTCTCTTTCTTACTTTATGGTACTGTTTTACAAATGCAGTGTGGTGACAATAAATCAGGACTGAGCCAGAGAAGATCAGAAGGGGGCTTAGTGGGCTGTAAAAGTAGAATAGAGAGATTAAGATTTGTTTGCCCCTTACCACGAAAATAAAATAAAAAAAAAATCCATTGAACCCTGAATTTCCCAGCCAATAGTGAATTGAAACTGTTTGGTTTTGAGTGGAAACCCTCGGAGCTGTAATACATCTTCAGAGGTCCTGGCAGCAAAGGGAAGAGACCAGGGAGGGAGCTGATTTTAGGTCAGAATTAAATCCTGCCTTACTCTCCTGCCAAAGCATTTTTTCCCACTGAAAAGTGACACCTTCTGTCCCCTCTTGGGTGGGGGATTGAGTCTCCCCTTCCTCCAGCACCAGCCCACAATGGCAGAGTTAGTCCCATAGCACACCTGCAGCTCCTGTTGGTGCTGAAGAGAGCAGCACATGCACATGAGGACACAATAAAACCCTGGAGAGAGAGCAGATTTTAAACTCATATGGTTAATATCCTATAACACCTTGCAATACCTAAAGGGGCTCCAAGGGAGCTGGAGAGGGAACTTGGACAAGGGCATGGAGTGACAGGACAAGGGGGAATGGCTTCAAACTGACAGAAGGCAGGGTTAGATGGGATATTGGAAAGGAATTGTTCCCTGTGAGGGTGATGAAGTCCTGGCACAGGTTGCCCAGAGAAGCTGTGGCTGCCCCATCCCTGGAAGTGTCCAAGGCCAGGTTGGACAGGGCTTGGAGAAAGGTGGTCCAGTGAAAGATGTCCCTGTCCATGTCAGGGGGGTGGAACTAAGTGGTCTTTAAGTTCCCTTCCAATCCAAACCATTCTGTGATTCTTTACCTCCTGCCCACATGCCTGTCAAGCCATAGCTCAGGGGGTGGTGTCCCCACGAAGCCAGAAGTGAGTCTGATGGCACAGGGCACACGACGTGCTCCAACCCTGCTAAAGTCACCCACTGCCCATCACCAGGTGGGTGTTTGCAGCAGGAAACCCCCACAGCAAGAAAGGGACTTGTTTACCAACACTTCCAAAGGGAGAGGATTTATTGCCACACGGGTAGTGATGGGAAGCCAGTTTGGGGTGAACATTGCCTGAGCCCAGAGCAGGCAGCTCAGCCTGGGGAGATTTTGTCTTTGTTCCAGCACCAATGTTGCTCATGCAAATGCTGGAGCTGGAGCCTCTCTCCTCTCTCCTTCTCCTTGCTGTAGTTCATACAGGTTTTTGCATACACAGCTGTTTCCTGCCTTGGCTGCCATGTCTTTTGGTTTGAATACAGTGACAAATGACAGGCAATTCCACGTAAAATATTTAGACATTGGTCAGACCTTTGCTCTAAAAGTGTAACTTGAGCCTTGGGATTTTTTTTAAGGCATCCTCGTGAAAAAAATCTCAAGCTGCTAGAAAGAGGTGAGTCCTAACTGCCAGAGAGCCACAGGATTGGAACTTTCTTTAGGGGCTCAGAAGTAAATAAAGACAATACAGGTGCAGGTTGCTGTCCCCTGTGATGTGCCTCTTGTCCTGGGATGTCCTGATGTTACCCTCAGATTGCATTAAGCCTCCCAGTGCCTCTGCAAGGGATAGGCTGCTGCTCCCACTATGGGGGTGACCAACTCAGAGTGATTTTAAATGAGCACAGAAATTCCCATGGCAGAGTGGGAGCTGGAGAGTGGAGGTGGATTCGCTGTGTGCCAGATCCCACTCCTGCCTCTGGCCCACCCACGGGGCTGTCAGGAGCTGGAGCCCCTTGTTCAAGCACAGCAGCTGTGCCCTGCTGGGGAAAACCCAAATCTGTATTTCCTTATCCCCTCACTATCATCCTCCAGAGCACCCTCCACACCACCAGCCTCTGCACACTTTGCTCTGCCCATGGGCCAGCTCTACATTTCCATAACGTGGTTCTTCACTGCTGTTTCTCTCACTTCATTTCTCTTTTTCTTTTTTTTTTTTTCCCTCCATGAGTTTTTGGAAGTTGAGGGAGTTTTCAGTCACTGATGTGGGGTGCAGGGAGCTGGAGAGGAGGGAAGCAAGGATGGATGGACAAGGAATGGCACAGGATAGGATGTGTGGAGGACCGGTGGAAGGGGATGTGGGGAGGCTAGGGAGGAGGCAGGACTGTCTTGTTTGGGAAAAACTTGTTATTTTTTTATGTAGTGACAAGAAACAAACAGAAAATTCTTACTACTTTTTTTTTTTTTTCCTACTGGCCTCGCTTTTGCTATGGGAAAAAGAGGAAGGAAAGAAGAGGAGTGGCAGGAGGGAAAGGAAATAGGAGAGATGTGACTGTCGCTGAGAAATGGAAATATTCATGAAAAAATAGTTTTTATTGGGAAGAGAATGACTTTGCCCACTGTGACCATCCCAGCAGTGTGGACAAGCAGCTACTGAACCCTCCAGGGATCCACAGGGAGTCCTGCTGGGCTAGGACCACACTGGGGATGGATCTGGGGGCATGGGGGAAGCAGGGCAGGGGGCAGAGGCACGCTGTGGATCAGTGGTGGGGTGGTTAAGGAGCTGCTGCGAGTAAATGAGATTTCAGAGCGGATTTGGCAGAACATATTTGACAGAAACAAAGGCCGATCAAGGTCAGAGCTCAGGAATCTCCAACGCAGTGCAAACATATTTCCATAAATATTAAATAGCAACCAAGCTGGGGGTGTCTCTGCTCATCAAGTGGGACAGTGCTGGGCTGGGGGGAGCCAAGAGCTCCAGGTCAAGGGGACAGCACTGCCTGGAGCTCACCACAACTGCACTACCACTTCCCTGAGCCCAGTGGGGTGACTTCTTTCTGCTCACAGTGAGCTGGTGCAAGGGCAGAAATGCTGCAGCCACAGCCTGAAAGTTCTTAGTTTCTCTTTGTTGACTGGAAACAGATTATTTGAACGCCATTAAAAATCTTCAATGACAAAAAGCACATCCATTCTGTAAAATGACAGATTTCCAGTTAGCTGTGGAACCTGTTTCTGCATAGCCCTAGGAAGGCAGTCATGGTGCCCAGTGATGGGCAGCACAGCTGGATGTGGCTGTACAGATGTGGCTGGTGAGCATGGAAAGTTTCCCAGTAGAGGATCACAGAATCCCAGAATGGTTTAGGTTGGAAGAGGCCTTTTAAGGTCATCTAGTTCTAACACAAATACTATGGGCAGGGACACCTTCCACTAGACCAGGTTGCTCCAAGCCCCATCCAACCTGACCTACAATGTTCCCAGGGATGGGACAGCCACAGCTTCTCTGGGTAACCTATGCCAGGGCCTCACCACCCTCACTGTAAAATCTTCTCCCTTATATTCAGTTAGATTTTGTCACAAAAACCCAGTAAGATGTGCCAGTCTTTTCTCTAAGTCATTGGAAATCCATGATCCTGGTAGGCAGAACAGCAAAACCTTCCGGTACATCAATACTTCACTAATTTTGAATCACTGCCTGTTAAAATAAGTTTTTTTAAATAATCCATATCCCAATGCAATGTACAGGCAGCAGTGCCCTTTAGAGCAAGTTTATGCTCTTGGAAAGAGCCTGAATAAATAAATATATCAACAACAGCAGTGGTTGGGTCACCAGCAGCAAAAACTTTCC